TGGCTTTCCTCCCCCTGACATCCATGACCAACTGTTTTCGCGACGGGCACGGATAGCCTCCCCTCCATCATCTTTCTCCGTCAGGACACCCCCCTCCTCCGATACACCGCCAGCATGTCCGAAGACCGATCCTACGCCCCGCCGGTCTTCAAGCGGCGAAGGCTCGACGGCAGCGGCCGCTCGACGCCGCGGGCCGAGCATGCCTCGACACCGGGCGCCGACGTGCCCCAGCCGACGGACGAAGACACGAAAGCGCTGGACCGCGACTGGTACGCCGGTGACGAGTTCGGCGGGCACGTGTTCGGCGACGACATGCACAACCCGTTCGGCAACGACTACTCGGCCTGGGAGAAGGAGCACCAGGAGGCCGTCAAGGCGGGAGAAGATGTCGAGCCGGTACGACGCGCGGCGCGAGCAGCGCAACAAAGGACAACGACGCCTGGGAGACGAACCGCATGCTCGTGTCGGGCGTCGCGCAGCGGCGCGACATGGCGGCTGACTTTGACGACGACGAGGCGACGCGCGTGCACCTGCTCGTGCACGAGCTGCGCCCGCCCTTTCTCGACGGCCGGACCATCTTTACGAAGCAGCTCGAGCCCGTGCCCGCCGTGCGCGACTACCAGAGCGACATGGCCGTCTTCAGCCGCAAGGGCAGCAAGGTCGTCAAGGAGGCGCGCCAGCAGCGCGAGCGCCAGCGGCAGGCGCAGGAGGCGACGAGCATGAAGGGCACGGCGCTCGGCAACCTCATGGGCGTCAAGGAGGAGGACGGCGACAGCGCCATGGCCATTGCCGGCGAGGAAGACGCCGTCAGGAAGCCCGACGGCGAGACGAGCAACAAGTTCAGCGACCACATGAAGAAAAAGGCCGAGGGCGGCAGCGACTTAGCAGGACGAAGACGCCTGCAGGAGCAGAGGCAGTACCTGCCCGCGTTTGCCGTCAGGGAAGGACCTGATGCGCGTCATCCGGGAGAACCAGGTCATTGTCGTCGTGGGCGAGACGGGCTCCGGCAAGACGACGCAGTTGACGCAGTTCCTGCACGAGGAGGGCTACGGAGACGCGGGCATGATTGGGTGCACACAGCCGAGGCGTGTCGCTGCCATGAGCGTCGCGAAACGCGTGGCCGAGGAGATGGACGTCAAGCTCGGCAGCACCGTCGGCTATGCCATTCGTTTCGAGGACTGTACCAGCAAGGAGACGGTCATCAAGTACATGACCGATGGTGTGCTTCTTCGAGAGTCGCTCAACGAGCCTGATCTCGACAAGTACTCGTGCATCATCATGGACGAGGCGCACGAGCGTGCGTTGAACACCGACATCCTGATGGGACTCTTCAAGAAGATCTTGCAGAGGAGACGAGATTTGAAACTCATCGTCACGTCTGCCACCATGAACTCGAAAAAGTTCTCCGAATTCTACGGCGGCGCGCCAGATTTCACTATTCCGGGAAGGACATTTCCGGTCGACACCATGTTCCATCGGTCACCTGTGGAGGATTATGTGGACCAGGCAGTGCAGCAGGTTCTGTCCATCCACGTGTCTATGGACCAGGGCGACATCCTCGTGTTCATGACCGGCCAAGAGGACATTGAAGTCACCTGCGAGCTGGTGCAGAAACGCCTGGATGCGCTGAATGACCCGCCCAAACTCAGCATCCTCCCCATCTACAGTCAGATGCCTGCAGACCTGCAGGCCAAGATTTTCGACCGAGCGGCACCGGGGGTCCGCAAGTGCATCGTCGCGACGAATATTGCGGAGACTAGTCTGACAGTCGATGGTATCAAGTACGTCGTAGATGCGGGCTATTCCAAGATGAAAGTCTATAACCCCAAGATGGGCATGGACACGCTTCAAATCACCCCCATCTCGCAGGCGAACGCTTCACAGCGTTCAGGTCGAGCCGGCCGAACAGGCCCCGGCAAGGCGTTCCGGCTATTTACAGAAAAGGCCTTCAAGGAGGAGCTCTACCTGCAGACAATTCCGGAAATCCAGCGGACGAACCTCAGCAACACGGTTCTCATGTTGAAGTCGCTCGGCGTCAAGGATCTCCTCGATTTCGACTTTATGGACCCTCCGCCGCAAGACACCATTACCACCTCCATGTTCGACCTCTGGGCGCTGGGCGCCCTCAACAACCTGGGCGAGCTGACAAAGCTGGGCGCCAAGATGAGCGCTTTCCCCATGGACCCGTCACTGTCGAAGCTCCTCATCACTGCCGAGGAATACGGCTGCAGCGAGGAGATGATCACCATCGTCTCCATGCTGTCCGTGCCCAACGTGTTCTACCGACCGAAGGAGCGGCAAGACGAGGCGGACACGCAGCGCGAGAAGTTCTGGGTCCACGAGTCGGATCATCTCACCTACCTGCAGGTGTACTCGGCGTGGAAGTCCAACGGCATGTCAGACGGGTGGTGCATCAAGCACTTCCTGCACCCCAAGTCGCTGCGCCGCGCCAAGGAGATCCGCGACCAGCTCCTCGACATTATGAAGATGCAGAAGATGCAGATGCTCAGCTGCGGCATGGACTGGGACGTCATCCGCAAGTGCATCTGCTCGGGCTACTACCACCAGGCCGCCAAGTACAAGGGCTCGGGCGAGTACATCAACCTGCGCACCAACCTCGGCGTCCAGCTGCACCCGACCTCGGCCCTGTACGCGGGCCACCCGCCCGACTACATTGTGTACCACGAGCTCATCCTCACGTCCAAGGTGTACGTGTCCACCGTCACAGCCGTGGATCCGCACTGGCTCGCGGACCTCGGCGGCGTCTTCTACTCGGTCAAGGAAAAGGGCTACTCGATGCGTGACAAGCGCATCACCGAGACCGAATTCAACCGAAAGATGGAGATTGAGACACAAATGGCCGACGACAGGCGGCGGCAGCAGGAGCAGATCGCCGCCGAGCAGGCGCGGGACTCGAGAAAAAAGACGCTCAGCGGACCAGTGAAGAAGGTCGTCACGCAGGGGGCCGTGAAGAAGCCGGTGATCAAGCGCAAGGGAAGGAACTTTTAAGGATACCAAACGGTCTTGTGCCAGAATTTTAACGAAGCGAGCCCGCTGTTTTTGATCGGACGAGTTGGCCCCCCACCGCCTGTTTCAGTGTACATTGTTTTGTCTCTTTCCGAATGTCCAGAGTGCTTTTGTGCCAGAGCTGGCCGCTCAGCGCACCTGAAAGTCCTTCTCTCCGTCGACGACGTCCCTCTCCGTCTGGTCCAGCTTGACGACCTTGGCAGAGCGCGGGCCCTGGTCGACGTCTTGGAAGAACTTCTTCAGCACGTCTTCGGGTCCCTGCGCCTCGCCTTCCACCTGGTCTCGTCAGCTCGTTGTCGCGCGCTACCGAGGAGGGTCATGAGGGCGGGTGTTTGGGCGCAGTCGCACCTTGTTGTCATCCGTGTTGCGACACCATCCCGTGAGCCCGTACTCTGTTCCTCGTTTTTGCGTAAAGTAGCGGAAACCGACGCCTGAGAGTTGGGCGTGACGTCAGTTGTCGTCATGTCTTCAGGGAGAGGGACTCGCGTGGCTGCTGGATATATCTACCTTGAACACGGCCGCCGTGGGCCACAAAGTAAATCTGCCAGTCATTAGAATCTTGCACGGTGGCGATGAATGTCTCTGGATCACTCTACTCGTTTGGACATTGTGATGAACTCGGAATGTATTAAGTTGCCGAAGTTGGTGCTGAGCTTCGACGAAAGCTTTGGGGTTGGAGGGGTCGAGGGAGGTGGGGTGAAGGCACATCCAGCGTTAGTCAGCACTTGATGTGTTCCGCGATCACCAAGTCATCAGAGCATGGTTGGAGTCAGGAACAGGGTGGAGGTGGGCATGATGCTGGTATCCGTTTTCGAATGAAGGCCGTCATTCGGAATGACGATATTTCTTTCATCATTTTTCAGGAACATGAAAACCGGCACGCAAGACATGGTAGTCTGAGAGGTGAGATGATGAGCTTACTCAATGGTTGGCATCTCGGCTCGCGGCTCGGGTTGCGAGAAGCTTCATTCTGTCAAGTGGGAGTCTTAGAGTTCACTGCGGATTCGAGTTTAGAGATTGAGGCTTCCTCCAGAGATGAATTGAAATCGAAGGGGCGACATGTTTTCCGGCTGCATATAGGCTACTGTTATGGGTTGATTCGTCAAGAAACGGTGTAGCGTTCTGTTTCTTCGGCTGTCAGAACACTGGAATTTCCTAGGAAAAATCTATAGTAATAAATGACGAGTAGATGGAAAAAAAAAAGAGATTTGAACGCTCCTGGAGTTAACACGACGATGTAACCATTCTCAAAGTCGAGCTCCGTTGTTGCTCACTGAATACTGTGGGCTATTGCCATTTTGGGCCACCAACCAGGGTTTGCATACACGACAATCCAGTCTTTTTTATACCTGAAAAGCCCAGAACAGGACGAAGGGGTGTTCTGTATGTCTTGGCTCTTGTCTATATCTCCAAGTACGCCCAGATGTAGACAATTCATCCCGAACACCCATGCCAGCAACAACCACCGTCTCGACTGGACCTGAAGCCTGTGGTGGGGCCATCGATAAGCCCGATCGATAGTGGACTGTGGAGAACCGGAGAGCCGCCGACGGCAGCCGCGATCCGCCAGGTCGGGTTTCCAACTTCCTCACATTTGCACAACCACATCACACCCACATCAACCAACCTGCTGCTCCTCTGACTCAATCATCACACCACCTCCTCTACTCAGACGCCC